GTATTGTTTCTTTTTTAGTAAGCATCTAATATATATCAATAAGTATTGTTTCTTTTTAGTAGGCATCGATATGTATTATTTCCTTTTGGTAGGTATTGAAACATATTAATAAATTTCATATATAAAGGTATCAGTATCTATCGATTTTCTTGTATAAGTATTGATTTTTTAACAATTTATATTTATATTTACTTAGCTAAAGTATGCCTCGAATTTATACTTTATCAAATATAGATGAATGTCGAAAACTCAGGAGTATACTATCTAATCAATATCCACCTAGCCGAACAGAACTTGAAAACCAGCTTGTTTGTACAAATCAAGATCGAGAAATTGCTATAGAGTGTGGCAATCGACTTTCTAATAAATGCTCTGTCTTGGATAAAGACAATAAGCATATACAATATGATCTAAAACAATCCAATAAAGATAAAGAGAAACTCTCCAAGCATGCTTTCCAGCTTATAGATAAGGTTAAACGATTGCACTCTAATCTAATATCCCAGATTACTCACAAAGATATTTTTCTTAAAGAATTTAAGATTAAGATAAAAGATCTTCTGTCTAAGATAAAAATATTGGAAACGAAACTATCTTCAACTCAGAATAAATCAAAGGAAATTACAGCACTTCGGTCTATGAAAAAAATACTAGAAAGTAAGTTAGAATCAGCTCAAAAAGATGCATTCTCAACTCAGGAAGAGATAGTAAAAAAAGAATCTGAGATTATATCTTTCAAGTCTGAATTAATAAATATAAAGAATGAATTAATGAATACAAAGGATGAATTAGCTTTAAAAATTAATGAAATTGAGTGTTTAGGCGCTTTACGTTCTGCTTCACAGAAAACAAAGGATATATTGGATCCTGTAATTAGGGGAGGTACAGAAAAAAATACGCAGAGTGAGGAACAAAGTTTCATATCGAATTCTAGAGACACATCGGAGGAATCAGAGATTTGAGGCTATACCTCATCTAAAAGTCTTGCAAAATATTTTAAAAGTAAAAATGAGCTAGTAATAAAAGAAAATGAAACATTACCAATTATCAGAAATAAGCAGAATCCGGAGTCATTGATTCAAGATATTACAATAGAAGGGGCAGTATGCGCTGGCGAGGCTTTAGTTAATGATAAGTATCAAATTTCTCCTATTATTAAAATTGTATTAGCCACTTTTTCTTTAAATAAGTTTTATAAAATTTTTTAAAGTCAGTTGTTTCTATTTGGATAAATAATCCATTTCTTTTAACCAGCGTTTCAACTTTTGAAATGATTTCAATATCTATGTTATTATTAGAAATATTTAACGAGGTTATAGTAAAGCTCTTAACAAGTGTATCTACTAAAGTTTTTCCTCCTTCAGATCCAAGGTTATTATCTTCAAGATCCAAAGAAGTCAGTGTAAAGTTTTTGAAAATAGCACCTGCTAATGCTTTTCACCTTCCACTCCAAGATTATTATTTTCAAGATTTAAAGAATTCAGAGTAGCGTTCTTGCAAAGTGCATCAGCTAATGCTTTTCCTCCTTCAGATTCAAGATTATTTAAATTAAGATTCAAAGAAGTCAGCGTGGTGTTTTTATAAAGTGCATCTACTAATGTTTTTCCCCCTTTTGACCCAAGATTATTTTCGCTAAGATTCTGAGAAGTTAACGTGGAGTTCTTGCATAGTGCATCTGCTAATGCTTTTCCTACTCCTGACCCAAAATTATTTTTGCTAATATTCAGAGAGATTAACGAGAAGTTCTCGCAAAGTGCACCTGCTAATGCTTTTCCACCTTCTAATCCAAGATTATTTTTGCTAAGATTCAGAGAGGCTAACGTGAAGTTCTCGCAAAGTGCACCTGCTAATGCTTTTCCACCATCTAATCCAAGATTATTATTTTCAAGATTTAAAGAAGTCAGCGCGGTGTTCTTGCAAAGTGCATTAGCTAATGCTTTTCCACCTTCTAATCCAAGATTATTCGAACTAAGATCCAAAAAAGTCAGCGTGAAGTTTTTGCAAAGCGCATCAGCTAATGCTTCTCCTCCTTCTGATTCAAGCTAATTTCCTCCAAGATCCAAAGAAGTTAGCATGGTATTCTTGCGAAGTACATCAGCTAATGCTTTTCCTCCTTCTGACCTAAGATCATTGCAATAAAGATTCAAGTCTTTCAGAATTGTGTTCTTGAAAAGTGCGTTTGTTAACTCGGTTAAATTTTCTAATCCACAATTTTTATTAGAAAGATCCCAGGACGAAGCCCTTTTTTGATATTCAGGACTATATTGCTTGTTTCTGAGAATTTCTTCAAAAAGTACTGATGTTTTGAGAAATTTACCTTGCCTAAAACACTCGTGCGCTTCCTTTCTCAAACTCTCAATATCATGCACTGAAAGCGGAGCTGATGTCAAAATTTCAAGTGAGCTTACTGGTGCTTTTATATTGTCTTGAGGACTTGAAGAAATTTCGCTATTTTGAGATGTTTTTTCAGTAGGATGGTGTTGACTCAAAGTTTCGTAAGAAATAAGTTGTTTTAAATTACTGAGAATTAATCTTGTTTCTGGACGATTGGCAGGATCATCGTCCCAACATTTTTTATATATTGAGATGGTATACCTTCTATAGACTTTTCTCTATTTCCTTTGAATATACGAATAGCAAGAGAATAACCCGATAAGTATTTGAATGGTGGTCTTCCGCTTGAAAATTACCCCAAGACTATAGACGTCAGATTTCTTATTATGTTTATACTCGGGATCGATAAAGGATTTAGGTTCGATATATGCTGGCATTCCATGCATGCATGAGTTTAAAGTCAGAGATGTCTCATTTATCTGCTTTGACAGTCCAAAATCGGTAATCTTTGCTTGTTCTTGAATGCTAAATTGTTAAAGTATTAGTGATTAAATTCTTAGTAAATTAAAAAATAGAAAATCATGAAAAATATACAATACTTCAATACTTACAAGATCTCTATGAATAATTTTATTATCATGCAAGAATAAAAGTTCCTTAGCTATACGTAATTTATCTGTCCATTTTAATTCTGTAAAATTTGCCATTAGGTATTCTCGTAAAGTCCCTTCATTGGCATATTGTAAAACCATATAATAAGATCCCTGGTTATCTATATATTTGAATTGATAAATATTTTGCTTTAACATGATTATTTGATATTCTAAAATATTAAATTGTTTGTTTACCACTGGTAATTCCGTAGAACGTAATAATATTTGGATGGCAAGTAACTCTTCGTAATAGTTTAATCTAATTATACAAATTTATAAATAAATTATTATCTGTAGTTGAATGAGTAGAATCTAATCAAAGTTTTAATATAACAAATAGTACCTCATTAATAATATCTTTAATAGTGTCTTCACCTATACTCGTATCAATTTTAAAACGTTTAAGAGCAACTATTAAGTCATAGTCTTTCCACTCGTATTTAAAAACCTTTCCAAAAACCCCACTACCGATCAAAACTGGGTCTGCAAATCTATTATATTCATGATAATTAATATTCCCATCGGAAATAGCCTTTTCAAGCCATTCTTCCGATGTATTTGATGTATTTGATGTCGTAATTTTAAGCGTATTATTGAATGCGTTTATGTTATCTTGATGACTTGAAAAAATTTCATTATTTTGAGATAACGTTTCAACAGAATCGTGTTGACTCAAAATTTCAAGCGTATTATTGAATGCGTTTATGTTATCTTGTTGACTTGAAGAAATTTCATTATTTTGAGATAACGTTTCAATAGAATCATGTTGACTCAAAGTTTCATTATAAGCAAGTTGTTATAAAGTCTTGAGAATTAATCTTGTTTCTGGGCGATTTGCAGGATCTAGGTCCCAACATTTTTGGTAAAGTTCAATATATTGAGACAGTGTGCCTTCTATAGGTTTTTCTCTATTTCCTTGGAATATATGAACAGCAAGAAAATATTTTGCAAAGGATTGGAATGGCGGTCTTCCACTTGAAATTTCCCAAAGAATAACTCCAAGGCTATATACGTCAGATTTCTTATCACGCTTATATTCTTGCCTAGCAAGACATTGAGGTTCAATATATGGCAGTATTCCATGAATGATTGAGTTTGAAGTCGTCGTTGACATTTCATTTATCTGTTTTGATAGTCCAAAATCTGCAATTTTTACTTGTCTTTGATGAATTACGATGTTTTTCGAATGCTAAATTATTAAAATATAATGGACGTATTATAACTTAATAAATATAATAGATAAAATTTACATAGTACTATACTTGCCAGATCTTTATGAATAATATCATTATCATGTAAATATAAAAGTCCGAGAGCTATTTCTCTAGCAATTCGAAGTTTATCTGTCCATTGTAAACGATTAAATTCAGCTTTTAGGTATTCTCGTAAAGTTCCTTCGTTTGCGTATTGCAAAACCATGTAATAGCGTCTATCGTAATCTATATATTTGTATTAGACATATTAGATATTGTAAATAATTATAATTTTAAGATTGTTGTGATTAATACACATAAATTATAAGAATGTATACCTCTTGTGACTCCGTAGAAATCAATAATGTTTTGATGATTTCAAGCTCTTCGCAATAGTTTAAGCTAATTATATGAATTATAAAGATCTAAATATGTAATTTATTATACCAGTAATTCAAATCTTAATGTAATAATAATACCTCATTAATAAAATCTTTAATAATTTTTTCATCTAAACTTAGATTGATGTCAACTTTAAGACATTTAAGAGCAACCGTTAATTCAAGATCTTTCCACTTGCATTTAAAGACCTCTCCAAAACCTCCAGCACCAATCATTGTGGGATCTGTAAATTTATTATATTCGAGGTATCTTTGCCATAACTTTTTGGACGTACGTACGTACTAGTATTGACTAACTTAAACTATTTGATGTGGTACATATAGTTTCTATACAGTGAAACACGTAAGTAAAATTCTATTCGTTAACCACTGTGCCGATCTCAACCCATTTGACACTGGGTGTGACCGACCATATTGTGTGGCGATAAACAATTATTATGTATTTTATAATTTAAATGTTTATTCATCACCTTATGATTGGGTAAATTACGTAATAGAGATTAACGAATTACTATGTGATACAGCACTTTAATTACATATAAATAATGAACTGGCACAAGCTTCTAAAAAAAATAACTAATTAAAAAAAAATTGAAAATTCTATGTATTAGTAAGTTTGATTTGTTAAACCTAAGGATGCTAAACCTTTGTTACTATTGATGAATAAACTTGGAATTTTCTTTTCGGAATTTTTCGGGTGAATTCATATACATATCCTTTTTACTAAGAGGGAGGGTGTAACGTAAACCACCGAATTATATTGGTCCATTATTTAAGGTTTTCGGAAGCAAGTGATGTAATCATACAATTCCAAACGTACTACAGTACTACGAATCCTAAAAGTTTTACTATTATACGTAAAAAAAAAATTTATTTTTTAGCCAATCAAAATTCAGGATTTACTATCAGGTAGGGAGTAGGGGGTACCCTACTTAGTGAAACCCTAATCAGCTGATAAATGACGCTCCCCTAAAAGGGCTAAGTTAAATCTTTATGAATATAATTCCGGATCAGACAGTCAGGAACACCTCGCTGACTTTATTAAATCTTAGAGTGAATGAACATGAACAAAAAGAAAGAAATATATTAACAAATATGCTTTGCAAGAACAGTAACTAAAATATTGAAGCTCTGAGAAATGTTCTTTATCAGAAGAAGGAAAAGTATCAGATGCGATTGTAAAACGTCATGCAAAAACATTTGAACCTTTATTATGAATTTGAATTAGAAGGAGGAAAATTTAAATATTCAGAGAAAGGCATTAATAAATACACATCAAAAACAATCTCTAAAAGATTTTGAATTAAAAAGAGGAAAGGCATTACCAATGCACTTCAAGAACAATCACTAAAAGACTTGAATTTTCAGAGAAAAAAGTATTAACAACAAAAACATTTTTATCTGAGATAATTTCAATTGGCCGATGGCATGATGGATGAATATCAGTGTTCTAATATATAAAAAATACAGATGTTAAAAGCAAAAATTCAAATAATAATGAAAATTAGTTTTAATTAAAAAAAATTTTAAGACTTTATTAGAATCTTACTTGCAGCATTTCATTACTTTTAACTTGTTTAACACCTTAGTTATTCGATCCCAAAAGTGATCTATAAAATTTATTTAAAAATTCTTTTATAGGCTATCTATAGTAATTCTGCATATATTATTTCACACTAAAAGTATTATTGGTAATATAAAAATATTTTTCAAAAAATGTCATTATTTGTTAAATATAGAAAAACATTATTAGCCTAAATCCTTTAATTTTTGGGTCATCTTTGCTAAAAAATTATCAAATTTAGTGAATGAAAAAGGAAAAGCTTTGATTAAAGTATAAAAGATGGATTGCATTTATTACGTTTATATCAAGATATTGATTATTTTCTTTAAAATATTCAAGCATTAATAATAATTTATTTTTTAAAATCAGATTAAATTTGTTAAGAATTCATTGTTTATTATATAAAAAATGCAAAAGTAATACTTAAGCAACCTTTATCAATGATAAATTTCAAAGAAAAAAAAGTTAGTTTGTATCTCTCTGATCTGTTCATTGAAATAACAACTCAGTTGGTTAAATTATTCAATTTCTGACTATTAAAAATTTGCTTTTGATCCATTGAGTGATATACTTAAGAAAACTTTAATTAAAAAAATTTACCTCTGATTCATTGAGTGAGGTGCTTGAAAGCATACAAAGTTAGTAATTTCTGCATGATTGGTTATATGTAAAAATTTCATTATATACAACATATAAGTGTTGCCAAAGGGAAAACCTACAAGTCGCTATTACTCAAAGGTTGTGTGTGTAAATCCGCGATTGGCAAGGTAGCACCAACAACCCCTAAGGCAGCATTGGGGATCTTGTTTGGGAGAATAACTGGGCAGTAACCAGAATTGGAAAGTGGTGAGAAATGTGGTGAACACAAAGAGACCTGTGATAAAGAATTGGCCTTACTAGATTTGGAACACCTCTGGCATATACGGAACTTACCAACCAATAAGAAGTTGAAGCATGGAGGCGTGTACATGTTAATAGACCTAACAGGCTCTTGTCATACCCATATGGGAGCCTTTGGCATTAAGAGAACTCGGGACTACCAATATAGATAGAGCTGGTGTAAGCGCATGTAGTGGTAACCGGAGGCTACAACTGCCGAGAATCACCATAAAAAGAAACAATAACACACTTGTTACCTCTGAGCCTCATAATGCCCTTCAACTATACTGACTACTGGAAGTATTAGCAAAATATGTCTAAGCAGCCTCGTCACCATATTGGGAAGTATAGTCATTAGCACAGACCTAATTGGATACATTAAGACCTGGGTCCTGAAAGTCGCAGAAAACCAGCTAGTTACAGCAGCATGCAGGCTTGAGATACTTATCTGTTTGGGTAGAGGCAGCTGCATGGCTTGAGATACGAACTCCTAGAAGTATGCTAAGTAGGGATTGAGTGAGAAAATCTCTTTGACAGATACACCAAACTGGAAGCAATAAGTGCCTACCTGGTATACACCAATTTGGGAGTTGAAGATAAATAGTTTGTAGGTAATGTAGTGGACATGTGAATACTAATTGGCGGTTGGGGAGAGATGTATAAATCCAGGTCAGCTATTTAGTGGGGATACAGTCAGCTCTGTGGGTTTTAGCTGTAGATAAATGGTTTGTATACCTAATATCCTAGTCTTAGTACTTAATGTAATATATATATGTATCAGCACCATCATATGTCAATTATTTAAGTATTAAATAAAGTCTAAGTGCGGGTGCTACACCCTTATAATTAAAAAAAAAAAAAAAACCTACAAGCCGCACTTTTTGAATATTAACTTTTAATAAAAATATCTTAAAATAGGCAATTTAATACCTACTATTCTTAATATTATTTGAATAGTCTTATTAAAATAATTCAAATAATATTAAAAGTATAGGTTTTAGATTGCCTGATTTAAAAATATTTTTATTAAAAGTAAATATACAAAAAGTACAACTTGTAGGTTTTTTCTTAGCAGCACTCATACATATGTTTCTGCAGATTTTTAGAATATCAATTTAGGCTGTTCTCATACATCTAAATCAATTAATCAGTTAATAATTATGATGACACTTAAGCACCACAATTGATAATGATATTTATAGAATTAAATTCTTGTACATACT